AGTTCATCTCTCACTGTTCTTTTACAGATATCACTGGTTGCAAGAAACTGCTCAGCCTTTTCTATTCTCCTCGGCCATAAGTCATTCACTTATTCTGTGACAACCATGAGCCTCTCAATGACATGTCCCCCAAAATTTACACCTTTCAGAGATCATCCATAATTACAAAATCAGGTAATAACCTCATTACTCCTTGAACTCTGGGTCTCACTGACAGCATTCAACTTGTGTGTATATTCCAATTCAATTATTTATCATGAACAGAATCTTTTCCTCGCATTTTTGACTTTTTTATGTCATAGGCAGTTACATTAGAAAAAATAATATTATAGGTAGTCAGATAGGGCTAGGCCTGGATAGCTCCAGTGCAGAAGGCTAGATGCCTTGCAGCGGTGAGGTAGAGAGGCACCCCCATTGTGGGCTAGGCCTCAAGACAAAAGGCTTCTTAAGCATAAACATCAGCATCCATCTGGGACTGATATTCTAATGGTCACCTAGAGGGAGACAGGAAGAGCCACTAACTGGGTCCCCTACAGAAGGGAGTTTCAAGTCTCCTAAAGAGCAATTTGGATTATGTCACGCTTTTCATTGAGGATCCTGAAAGCTTCTTTTGTGCAAAACAACATCCATACTTTGCCATGCTGTTCTGAAGCCCCCTAAGTTGAACTCTCCTTTGTTCTCTTTAAGATAGTAAAAGAATAACATATGTCGTAGTGGACATCACTTATTGTGTGATAGTAGTCATGCCCACTCCCTACAAGACTCACTTCCCCATGTGATTCTGATTTAATGAATTTTACTTAAGCAACTATACTCATAATCATATTGGCTGAACATAGTTCTGTCCCACCTTATGCCCACCTTGTGATTTCCCATTTTTCCCTGTCTTTAACCCACCTCACCCTGTGGATTTGCTCTATAAAATCTCCAAATTCTTGGCAATCTAGTTACGGGTTCCTTCTCTCTAGGACAGATGCTTCCTTTCCCGCAATAAATATATTTTGCCCTTAACCTCCACTGTTCCTAAAATTCATTCTTCAACTTTAGAGAACACATACTCTTACTGTACATCTAGTAAGTTGCGAGTTTCATTCCCCTATATCACTAGCACTGTTAAGAAACATTTGTTCAAAGTCTTAGGGGTGGAGGAAAGTAAAGAACTATCAGAAACTATTTTATCTTGTCACCTTTTTATAGATAAGCATGGTGGTCAGAACAGAGAATGATGTTATCTAGGATAGCCTTGTTTCAGAATGCAGAGAAAGAATTTCAGATTAAATTTTTTGGTTAATATATTTCTATTTGAGCTGTTTCAGATGTTGATTTAAATTTGTGAGAAAAATTCATGAATATTTATGGAAAGAATTTTTGCAAAGGTATTTCCTTCACTTGTTAGAATCCAACTCAATCCTGTATAAAGTTTTGTATTATATAAGAACAAAAAAATCATATAAAATAAAACAGCGGGAGACTTCCATTAAGTGAAGTACCTGCAAGTTGCCATTTGGTATTGGCAGTTAAATGCTGAAGAAACAGACAATGCAAGAACTCTTTTAAGTTTCGGCCAACCGACTGGTTAAGAAGTGGGTTCCCTGGGCAATCCGCTGTCCCCAAAATTGAAGAGGCCAACAGAAGAGTAAAAAGTACATTAAGTTTCTGAACACAAAATGTAAGAGCTGAAATCTCACATAATTAACAAACTGCCTGGGGCTCCGTCATCAGGAAAATTGCACATTTTTGAGTCTTACCCAAAAAGGCTCAATTATGTTCTCATGGTTAATGCCTCTTCAGGATCCAAGCAAAGAGAGGAGAAAAGGCACCATTTTGAAACATTCCCACAATACTGGTTTTCTACAAAGTCTGCTTTCAAGAGAAACTATCCAGACCTCAACCTTCTGGGGTTTTGTCAGAACCTAAAGATCTGGAATTACAATATCTAACTCTAGTCAACACTTGCCTTTCACAAGGGACAGGCAAATACTCAACTGTAACACACTATAGCCATCCTGTTCCAGCAGTGCAGTGGAAAGTGAACTGGGAAGTGTTTGGGTGAGATTCACTGTCCAGAGACATATGCTCACTGCAAGAGTGAGAACTAAGGGGCTGGGGATTTAGCTCAGCGGCATAAGCACATGCCTTGCAAACAGGTGGTCGTGAGTTCAATCCCGGGTACCGATTAAAAAACAAAGAGTGAGAACTAATCATGGAATTAAAAACAACAATTCCCTCTCCTGACTTTGCACCACCACACACCCAAACCTTGTTCATGGCAGTTCATTTGACCTCATGTACTATAGCTGGGTATGAGGAAAACTTAAGACATACTCAAAATCATGAAACATAGCTTAAACAAGTAGTACAAACACTGTACCAGACTCATGTACAACAGAAATTTTGGTATTATCAGATTTGAGAATTAAAACAAATACTATTTGAATCACATGAGTGTTAGTATGAGTGTAAGTGTAGATTAAAAAAAACATGTAAGCAGAGACATGAATATTGTCAAGCAATAAGTCCCTCAAACACTTCTAGAGGTGATAGAAATAAAGAGTGTCTTTGAGTACTAAGCACTCTCTAAGCTAATGGTACCTCAACAGAAAAATCCAAAACTAAGGAAGAAAGGGAAATAAATGTCTAAACATATACAGAAATTGCAGGACAACTACAGAGATATTCACAACTAGAAAAGTTAAGAGGAGCAAAAAAGTAAAAAAGATGGAAGAAATTCTTCAAACAATAATGGCTGAGAATTTCTCTAAAATTCCTTTAAAATACCAAACTAAAGATCTAGGAAAGTCAGAGAACCCCAGTCAGATTAACATTAAACAAAAAGCCTGATCTAGGTAAATCATGTTGAAATTATACAAATATAAAGAACAAATACTGAAAGAGGTTGGAGGAAAATTGATACCTCCCATATAGAGAAAAGATCAAAATTATGCTTGTCTATTCCTAGGAAACCACAGAAGCAGAAAAGAATTAAGTTAAATACCAAAACTTTTGATAATAAAACCTGCTGTTTGTACATACTCTTCCAACAGGTTTAAAGTATTAATGATGATGGATATACATGTGCATATAAAGATGTCCCTAAATTATGCACTTAAAACATTTTACTGTAATTTTTGTCTTTTTCATTTTTATCGGTACCGGGAATCGAACTCACGACTGCCTGCTTGTAAGGCAGGTGCTCATGCCGCTGAGCTAAATCCCCAGCCCCTTACTATATTTTTTTTAAAATATATACTAATATACAAAAACTATTGTATACTAAGTTTTAGTATACAATAGACTAAAACTATTGAATTGTATAAAATTGATGAGCTAAATGGTATACAAAGAATACATTCTTTAAAAAATACTTTTTAAGACAGTATCAGTGCTTAATTAGGTGAAAAATTGTGTACTTTGCCACGTACCTTTTAACAAATTACCTGTATTTGTTATTTTGCTCTGGACATGAATTCTGATGCTTCTTGGAGTTCTTTTTTTGCCATCAGAAAAGGTGATACCTCTGTATTTTATTCTACTGAGTCTTCTGAATTGAAGATACAGTGATACCAACTGATTTGCCTTGTCAGCAGCTGTTACTTTCTTTTGGTAAATACACTGGTCTTTCACAGTTGAAAGTTGGTAAAGGCAACACTTTCTTTCAAAGAGAACCTTTTAAAGTTTTATTGTGTTAAAACAAAATTGGTCACAAAATCTCATGAAAAACTTAATGACAAACAGGTACAAAACAGTTTCCATAATGAATCTCTGTAACACACAGAAGTTCCATTCACTATTCGTAGGTAATACTACTAGCCCTCTTAAGTACAAACCTGAAATCTCAACAGTAGCAAAGCAAGCGGTTTTAGTACAAAAGTCAAAGTCCACTGGGGTAAGAACAGAAGATTAATAAAACAAATATTGTAACATACAGATGTACCTTAGATTTGGTTCCCTTGAAAAATTAACTCCTATCCACAAGTTAGGTAATTTAGTAGTGCTATGGTACACCATTTAAAAATAACCCATATTAGCTAAGTCACAATCAACCTAAATGGCCTTAAGCTGATAAACTGATAAAGAAAATGTGGTATACACACACAGTGAAGTAACTATTCACTCACAAAGGGGATACTTTGCCATTAGTGACAACACAGATGTACGTGGAAGACATTAGGTTAAGTGAAATAAGTCATGCACAAAATTAATGATTGTTATCTTTCATAGTGTGGAAAGCAACAAAACAAGAATGACCTGAAGGTAATGTAGTGAACACTAGAGATTTAATAGGCTATGGCTTATCATAGGGGAGTGCAAGTGAAGTTCTGTGGTAGTGTCTGCCTTTTATGAAGACATTAAGGACTAGCATTTATCATGCATGTACTTCAAATATTTTTAAATGTTTTAAACCAAATGGTACCACAGAATGTGCAGCATACGAGGACAGTAACAAAATAAATGAAATCAGAAAACATTAGGCAAAAATGCTGCTTAGCAATGCAAACTATGTACGTCTTCTTTTCATCTCTATTTCCCAGTTTCCTACTTCTCTATGAAATAGAGAAAATCTCACCCACTTCCACAGTGATAGTTCTCCCCGTGTCTATCATTGTATGAGCTAGGGTGATTCATTTATCTTAAGAGCCTTGGCACAAACCTGAGAACTTCCCAAAGGCATACTCAAATCCTGAATGGTTTAATTTCTTACACATTCTTGTTCAATATAAACAAATTTAAGTAATTTAAATGTATAAAAGGAGAAACTTAATCAAATAAAGCAAACTAAGATCTGAGCAACTTTCTCCCTCTATCAGCTTATCAGTCAATGCATACCAGAAAAACAGATTAACATAACAGAAATTTACCAGGATTTACAAGTTAAGAGTTACAATGGCCACCCATAGTCAGGTATGAGTGCGCAAAACAGTTGTCTGCATGTGGAGAGCCTGATAATTCAGTCCAAGTTAGAAAGCCTGTAGATCACTACAGAGTATTGTGGGAATCTGTATCAGGAGGCCAAAGAGTCTGCCTTGGAAAACTGAAGGGTCAGTTTTAGAAGAAAGGAGATGATGCCAAAGGTGAGGGTGAAGACTGAAGCTCCTCAGAAAACCAGAAGCTGATCCACCATCCTTTCCCTTTTTATTCCATTCAGACTGCGTCTTCTATCTTCAGTAAATCCATTTGGTCACACCCAGAATTATGCTAATGCAATCATTTGGGTGTTTCCTATACAAACTGATGCAACAGTTAACTATCACACAAGTTGATCTCACATATTTTACTATATACTTTACATTTCCAGGGATATTCCTGTCTCATTGTCACGTTATCTTAACGTGGATCATCAAAGTGATTTCAGGAACTCCAATTTGTATTTCAAAACAAACCAATACCTTATCACTAACCTTGGTAAACATTAATGAATGTTTGATCTGTAGCAGTCATCAAATTACACTGCAAACCCCCCCCCCAAAAAAAAAAAAAAACATTCTGTGGAAAATAACACCCTCGAGTGATACAGAAACAAAATTTTTCAAATGTTACTCATAGAAAACAAGAACAAACATTAACAGACACTGTATGACAAAGTGAAGATTATCTCTTACTTATTACTAAGTGTAGAGAGGCTGGAGCTGGCCTGAGGACTTGGAATGGCTTAAGCAGTGGCTACAGGTTTGGCTTCAGCTTTGCTTTCGGCTTTCTCTTTCTCCTCTAACGCATCTTCTTCAAAACCGGGTGGAATGTCAGTGGTCGAACAACCAGTGACCTTGGCCAAAAACTCTAGGACTTTCACCTTGCTGGTTTCCTCATGGGCTCTGGGACCCCACAGGAATTGATAGCTTGGAGGATCGCTGCCAGGAACCTGGCGGTACTCCAGGTATTTTTCTTCAACCAGATCTACAGTGATGAGCTTCCTGACATCTCCAAAGATGAAGTGCGTGGTTCCATCGATGATCCCTAAGGTGTTCAGGAATTCCCAGACAACTTTCTCCTCAGCACAGCAACCTTGCAAGAAGATGTTGCCAAGGAGAGACAGGAGAAGCCCGGTTTTGGGAAAGTCACTGCTCAGATTCTCACCGGGGAGCTCTAACATAGTGTCCAGGGTGTAAGAACCACCACCTGGCTTGATTTCCTTCAGCTCCAGGCCAAATACAAGCTCCATGCGCCTAGAAGCTATCTTGAGGATCTCAGAGAATTGCACTCTGAATCTTTTATGGACAATTTTCAGCATTTCCCTCTTTAGAATGGGCTCCTTCATTTTATATCTCATCATCAGGTAGTGCATCACCAATTCTGCCTTCTTCAACAGAAGCTCTTTATTTGAATCCTTGGTAGAGGGTGTGGCCTTCGAGGCAGCAGCTTTCCCCTTTCTGGACTCTCTTTTCTTATGGTCTTTACCAAACTTTTTGCATGAAGCAGCAGGAACAGCAGCAGCACTAGTGGGCAGTGCTCCTGGAGACTTCTGGGGAAGGCCAGCAGCATCCCCAGAATCAGAGGAGCAGGAAGGGGAATTTTCTTCCTGTGCTGCATAGCCCTCAGCCTCCTGAAGAGCTCGAGCCTGACTTCGGGCCTGGTCCCGTCTCTGCCGAGCACGGAGCTTACTCTTCTGTCCTCGAGGCATGACTGCGATGTTATAGGACAGCAGGTGACTCCTTTACCTGCAGTAGAGAAAATGAGACCCTATGAGCACCTTTAGTACAGACAGGCCAACCTTTAGTACAGACTGCAATCAAGGCCTCATTCTCTTGGTCACTGCATCCCCTAATATCTCTCAGAAAACTGAGTCTTAGACAGAAGCCTGTCAGTCCTGCCTAGGGTCTTCTAAGCTGAGAGGAGGCAGTGGCAGTAAAATGCTTGTGTTCTGGTGTCTGAGGTCTCTGAGCAACTTCTGGCACAGCCTAGTCTACACCCTGCTGGTACTGTGAAGTTGACTCCTCCAAGCTGCTAGAAATACAGAATGACCTGAAGGGAACTTCAGTACATTATTGTGACAGAAGAAAGCCAGTGCTGAGAAATCAGTGAGAATGCCTATCATAGGCTCTCTGGGGCCCTTGGTCCCCTTTAGCCTTTTGCTTTAGCTCTGCATAAGAATTTGTACCACACTCTTCTTTTCAGCAGTCCTATCTCCCTTGGAATCGAAAACAAGTCATAGTGAGGCAGTTCAACCTCTGAAACTTAGTGAAACTCTGTCTCAATCAATCAATCAATCAATCAATCAATCAATTAATCAATCCATCAGGGCTGCAGATGTAGACCAGGATCAAAATTCCTAGTTCAAATATCAGGACTATAGGCAAAGGAGGAGGACAGGCTAGGAGGAGAACGGAGAGAGAGGCGGGGATGGAGGGGAGGACAAGGGGAGCAAAGAAGGATGATGAGAGGAGGGGGAGGCACAGAAAAGTGAAAAGAGGGAGGGGAAGCAGGACTAGGAGGTAACAGGAGGTTGGGAGGAGGAGTGGGCCACCAAGATGAGGAAGGAGGGGTGGGGAGGGGACATGGTGGAAGTTAAGAGATTGGGGTGATGGAGAATAGGAGGAGAGGATGAGAGTGAAAAGAGTGGTAGAGGAGGAGTTGGGGAGGAAAAAGGAAGGAAGAAGACAGCAAGAGGGCGTGAGAGGAGGGAAGGAGAATGGGTAGAGGGGAGAAGGAGAGTCAAAACAGGGAGGGGCAGTAGGAGGAGCAGCAGAATGGGAGGAACTGGGAAGAGAGGAATGGGGAGTGGCAGCAGAGAAGGGAGAGCGCCGAATGACGACCTGAGGAAGATAATGGGAGGAGGAGGAGAAAGGGAGGAGGGAGAAGATAGAGAAAAGGTGATTGCTGGGAAGAGGAGGGGTGAGAAAGGGGAAAGGCAAGGAGAAAGGAAAGGGGAATAAAGAGGGAAGAAAAGGTGAGGAAGAAAAAGGTGAGGAAGGGAGGAGGGAGAGGAAGGAAGGGTGAGAAGGGGAGAAAGGGAGAGGGGCCTGGGGGTGGGGGGAAGAGGAGAGGCCAGGGGGAGGAGGTGGTCAGGTGGAGGAGTAGGGAGGAGAGCAGGGGGAGGAGGTGTGAAGGGTCCACAGAGAGGATGAGGAAGAGCTGAGGATGGGGCTTAGAAAGAGCAGGGGCCAGAAGGGTAAAAGTGGGAGGAGGAGGGGTAGAGAAAAGGGAAAAGAGAAGCAGGAGGAGAGGCGGAATGGAAGAGAGGAATGAGAGGGAGGCGGAGGAGAGACAGAGAAGAGGGGAGGGGGAGGGAGGAGTGGGAGGAGTTAGGGAGAGGGAGGAGTTAGGCGGGGCAGGAAGAAGGGAGAAGGGGAGAGAAGAGTAGGAGGGAAGCAGGGAGAGGAGGGAGGAAGAGGAGGACTAAGGTGGAGGAGAGAAAGAAGGAAAGGAGAGGGGATGGGGAGGGGAGAGGAGGTAGGAGTGGGAGGGGGAGCAAAGCAGGGGAACAAGGGAGGTGGAGGAGGGGGAGAGGGGAATGGCAGCGAGGGAGGAGTGGGAGGGAGAAGTAGGGAGGGGGAAGTGGGAGAGGAAGGAGGAAAGGGGAGGAGTTGGCAAGGTGAAGGAAAAGAGGAGGGAAAGGGGAGGAAAGGGAGAGGAGGGAAGGGGGAGGAGGGAAAGGGGGGAGGGAAATGGGAGGAGGGAAAGGGGAGGAGGGAAAGGACGGGCAGGAGGGAAAGGGGGAGGAGGGAAAGGAGGGGCAGGAGGGAAAGGAGGGGCAGGAGGGAAAGGGGGGGAGAGGGGAAAGGAGGGGCAGGAGGGAAAGGGGAGGAGGGAAAGGACGGGCAGGAGGGAAAGGGGGAGGAGGGAAAGGAGGGGCAGGAGGGAAAGGGGGAGGAGGGAAAGGGGGAGGAGAGGGGAAAGGAAAAGTAGCTGGAGAAGGGGTCTTGGGGGAGAAGGGGGAAAGGGAAAGTGAAAGTGAGAGACAGTGAGTGGAGAAGCCTAAGGGAGCCATCCCTGGCTTTCCCAAGCTTAAGAGTCCCAGGCTGACTGATCATGCCTGGCTCGTGGAGCCCCCCCCCCACGTGCTCTGTAATGGCGGGCGCCAGGCGTGCTCCATTTTTCTCCTCCTAGTCACCACTCCAAGTCACCTCTCCATGTGTCCGTGTATGCCGTTTCTTCCCCGCGTATCAGTAGTCAAGGTCTCACCCCACCAGGCCTAGGACCCCTCTTCCCCAGGCCTGGCCTCAGGCTGGCTTTCCGCCTCAGGCGCCATTATTACACAAAGTTCAAGTTTCACATGCACGGCCTCAGCCTTTCCAAATATTTTAATTTTTTTTTCTGCTCCAGGAATCGAACTCAGGACCTGGCTCTTGGACAAGGGCGGTTGTTGTGCTGCTGGGCAGCGTGCCCAACCCATTTGGCTCCTTTGGGTCCTGAAGGGAAGTCCGGTCACTCCACACTACCCTACTCACTCAGAAGCCCGGAGGTCCCAGGACAGGGGCCCAGCGAGAGGTGGACCCCACTTTTAGCCAGAGGTCGCTCAGGGTGACTCAGAGACCTTGGAGCCAAGTTCCCATCCCCACAGCCCCGTGGCGCTCAGCAAGCCATGGCCATGTGCTTCCCTCCATGCGCCCCTCCCCCCCTCCCCAAACCAGAACAGGCCCACTGGAACACGCCAAGGCCAGGAGGCCCTATGCTGTGCCAGCTAGAGGAGGAGTTGAACTTCTTGGTCAGCACTGGGGACCCCACCTGGACCCCAGTTGAATCCCCAGAAATCACCTTGAGTCCACAAGAAGCCGGACGCCACGCACCTCACACTCCTAGCTCCCAGCTTCTCAGCGGAAGTGAAGCCAGTGAAGGCGGAACAAGGAAAAACCACATCCGGTAGGGTCATGGTTACCCCGGGTTTTCCTAGGCTCAGGACAGGGGCAAGTTCTTAAAGGAACATACCATTCTTAAGTCACTACTCCATAAGTACTCATCTTGACAGAAAACATACTTGTAATTCCTCCTCTTACACTTCTAAGTCACAGATCCTTTCAATGAAAGCCCAAACCTCACTCTGTCCCTGCAGAGGAAATCAGTTCAAGACCCCAAGATTCTCGGGTCCCACAGCAGGGCATGTTTCTATAAGCCTTCCAATTTCAGGGATAGGTCCTCTCCTCAGCATGATGTATTTTCATCCTGATTCCAGTTTGCCCACACCATTCCCTTCTCGAAACAGAGCCCTACCAACTTGTTCCTGGTACTTTAAACTGGGGATGGGTTCTCTGAGGACCTCTCTGCTGGTGAGGATCCCCTTATAATGCTTAAGAGTTCTTGTGTTTATTATTAGATTCTCGGTATCTTCTTTCTGCAAAACTAATGCTACTCCCGTTAGATTTAGAGCCTCACTTCCCTTAGACTTTTCTAGTCTAAAGAGTGCCTGACAGCTCTGTCTGGGTCTTTCCGGGGGGCCTCAGCAGGGGAACTTTGGGCGTCTCTTATGGGGGTCTCTTCAGAGTAGCCACTCATGCAGAGGAGTGACCACTCCTGTTAGGTTTTTTTGCGCAGATGAAAGACAACTTTACTGCAGGTTCGGGAGCACTGCTGGACACTGCAAAAATCCTTAAAACGAGGGGGCGCTGGTGGGGATTGGGGGATTGAGTGGTTGTGGAGTACCGAGATTGGATGGGGCTTAGCGCATGCGCAAAAAGGGAATGGGCGGGGGCGGGGGTCTAGGTGTTATTTTTGGAATGAGAAGGAGAACACAGAAGTTACTCTTGGAAAGGTAAGTTGCTTCTCCTGGCTTGGGCCAATTTGAGCGGAGGTCATATTAGAGGTAGCGAAGCCCCAGGCTGGCAGAATCTATCACTTTGTACCTCTGCTCCCTGTGTGTGTGAAACTACTCATCTCACTTGGGGGTTGCCTCTCTGATAATTCTTAGTTGGGAGTCAGCAGGGTCCTCATGTTACCAGGGTCCTCTTTTTTGGGATCTAAAATATAGACAGAACGTGACACTAGGATCCCACAATTCTGGCTGAGTCCTATCGTTGCTCTGTTGCCGTCTTCACATTTGCATCTATGAGAGCCTGGTACCCTTTGTGCTATTGAAGTTACCCTTTGTAAGATTCTGGATGGCTCTTGTGTTTTGAAATGGCTGTTTCTCTTGTCATTCATGGGAGTCCTCATCTGGATTCAGTCACTTGACTGAAACCTTCCAGAGAAACCCTAGAGTCCTGCACTGAAAACTTTCCTATTCACAAACTTTGCAAAGAAGAGATCACTGTCATGGGAGTGTAGTTAAATTGAGAAACTGTGATTCAAAGCATGAAACCCAGATACTAAATTTATAAATCTATCATTTTGTTGCTAATGAATTCCTAAGTGAAGAATCAAAGGAAACATAAAATATTTTATTTCTTCCTTCTTTTCTTTTTTTCTTTTTTGTGTGTGTTCTTAGAGGCAGGGTTTTACTATATGGTTCAGGTTGGCCTTGAATTCACTTTGTAGCCCAGGTTAGCCATGCTTTTTCAATGATCCTCCTGCCTCAGCCTCTTGAGTGCTTGGATTACAGGTATGCACCACCACACCTGGCTAATATTCTCATAATTTAAGAGAAAGATTTAAGACCAGGCATCTGTTTAGGAAGAGAATAGCCATAATTAATAATTAGAAAACAAGGAAAGAACACAGTACTGTCTTTTCAAAATGTATTTAATTTCCAACTATT